TCTCGATAAAAAGCGCTGATACAGTCGAAAAATGGGTTACCAATTCAAAGGCTCCAGCAAACTTTGTCACCCTCTTCGAAGGTCTTCAGCAATTTGATGGAGACCTGAACAAACTTCAAGTGAGTCATCTCTTCCCTGGCACAGATCGATACAAATCTATGAGCTTTTCAAGTCTCTAAACTTTGGTGACCACATAACAGCAATTCGTCGAGGTCAACGAAACAGCCGTTTCCAAAATTTTGAAAAAGGTTTGTCCCTATATCCCTCAGTACGCTCGCTAGAGGCGCCTAGAAGAACAGGGGGAAAGGAAATACAATGAAAGAGGAAACAGCTGACTCTAGATGTGTTCGTATTTAGTGGGATAAAACTTCAAAGGTCCGATTGCCATCACTGACCCCGAAGAAACCGCATTGGAAATAAGTCTAGCTAACAATACAGTCCACCTAGTCACGCACAAAAGAGCTTTATCTTCATCGCGCCGTCGAAGTACAACCGTGCTTTAATCGAGAGGTTCTGCGCGACCTCTCTGACCGTGCGACGACCGCAAGGTTAGAGCTTGAGGCTTGGGCGGAAGGCGAAAACATTCAGTTCGATGCGTCGCGTCTGGCTGATCGCGTTGTTGCTGAGGAGGACGATTCTGACTTACAGATCTTACAAACCACCACTGCTGGCAATTTCCAAACGCTGCGGGAATGGGTGGCGAAACTGCAATCATCGCCAGACGGGGCCGATCGACTCACACGTATGTTCCTTGCTGCAATAAATGAGTATCCCGACGAGGTTCTCGCCCTTCTTCTTGACACCGGTTTGGTGGACGTGAATGCAGAAGATGATATCAATGAACGCAACTGCCTCCACGAAGCGGCAATATCGGGACGTCTATTTGTTCTCCAGGCGGGGCTGGAGCATGGGGTTGATGTTGCGCAATCAGATGTTTACGGGAGAATTCCTCTCCACTATGCTTGTATGCATGGTAGAGTGGAGATGGTCAAACCCCTCCTCAATGCAGGAATTTCAACTATTGACATGATGGACCACGATAACTTCACCCCGCTGATTCACAGCATCATCCGGGACCAGCTTCCCTGTGTGGAACAACTTCTTTTCCATAACGCTCGCATAAATCCGACATCCGAGTCAGACCACATCCCGCTGAATCTGGCCTGCCAGCATGCGTCTCTACCACTCATCAACCTCCTTCTGGAGAGGAATGCTGAATTGCTCCCTGATGCAGAGGGCCTGTATCCACAGCATCTTGTTGCGCGATCATGTAGAGGCTCGGAAGCTCTCCTTGTGCTTAAGAGCCATGGGGCTGATCTCGACCAAAAGGACAAGCTTTACCAATGGACCCCGATATTCCATGCTGCAAGCGAGGGATGTGTTGGTTGTTTGAGAACGTTGCTAGAATGCGGTGTAAATGCTGATGCCTTGGATGAAAAAGGATTGTCTGCTATGTACTATGCTGCATGGGAAGGCCATCTAGAATGCATGATATTGCTCTGGGCAAGACGGCCAGGTACAAAACCACCACGAACACCGCTTGATATTCTCAACAGCCCCAGGTTTCGGGATTCAGGTTCTATGACCTCCCCTCTCCTGACCGAGAAGTCAGGAGGGCCGAAGGCGGGAGCAGACGGTAGTGACGGTATTCCTCTTCTATCTCTACCACCCCCTATTATTCCGCTACGACGATACGGCCATAATTTCCTTGACACCAAAACATTTATCCAAATATATTTTGAACAAACGCCGTCTTTTGAACCCATTGTGTTCTACCAGGCTGGGCCGTTACGCTGCTGCACGATTGACGATTTACCTCGAAAACATCGGA